GGGTTTGGGGTTTAGGGGTTGGGGTATAGGGTTCAGGGTTTAGGATTTGGGGTTTAAGCTCCAGCTTAGCCGGTTTAGGGCCCCAGGGTAGCACGGTTCTTTACGGGGCATATGAAGTGCTTCATTGGGGGATTTCGGATTTCTAGGGTTCGAGGGTGTATCATAGGGCTTAGGACTCTTTCCATTTGCACATGTGGCATATGTCTACATGTATATATATATATAATATGTGGCGTACAGGCGCCGTGCTTGGCATGTGCGCGATGGCATCAGAAAAGGCTGAAGATGTCTGTATGGCCCTTTCGGAAATGCTGCCTGCATGTGGGCTGGGTCAAGTGCAGTTCCTGTCGTCAGATTGTGCCTCAACCAAACTTTATATACCGAGTTGAAGTGCATTATGCCGCATTATGCCCAATCTACAGTGTCTGGCGCTTGATCCTATCCACCTCTGCATCGTCTACGAGCAGCTAGTCTCGACTCGGTTTCATAAGACTGAGGTAGTAGATGTCACAGTCAGAGTCAAGCTTGGGTGGACCCTCACATGTGCTCAGGTATGCGACATGGCGGAAGAAAACGGCAGGAGCCGCGTTTCTCCGCAAAATTATGCGCAAATTCAACATGGTGGATGCAAGTCTTCCTTCTCAGCACTGGGGTTCTTTCTACAGAGGCTACGAGAGCCGTCAACTTACCCAGCATGAACAGACGCGCAGAAACTACATCGAAACCGGTGCATTTGCAAGCTCGCAAAATTGTGGCGGAGATGGACAGCTCGAAACCATCTCTTTGTAGATTGGAGTTCATTGAAGCCTTGGCTGCGCTGGCCGCGGTTTTCGGCGAGGACATGGGCCGCAGAGTAACCGGAGCCAATCAACGTATCTCCCACGTTCTCTGGTGTGCCGCTGACCCTGATCGGGCTCAGTGGTACTTCAACAACCAGCGGTTCGGCACACGCTGAGTCATGGCCTTAGTTTCAGCTTACGTTAGCCTGCGTACATGTTCACCTCACCTTCATACTAGTTCTGGTGCTGCATCAAGAGGTCGAAAAGCCTTGACGTTCCTTCCGGCCGGCACTTCGTCCAACGAAGCCTTGCGCGCTGAAATCAAGTCATGGTTCTTACAAACTCAGCAGATCCACAAGAGCACACTGCGCTTGAAGCTGTTGATAGTGGCATTGAGCAAAGCTTTGCCTCATGCACTTGCATTGCAATACAAGCAGCAGCCATCAGCCAAACCAACAGCAGACTTCTGCTCGCAAGGCTCACTGCTAAGTCAGTGTGGTCTGAAAAAGAATGGCAGCGGTGGTGTTCATCATGCGCAGACTCTGGCTCTGACAAGGTACAGAAGGCATCGCTGGTGCTTAATCGCGACCGCGTTACAGAAATTCGTAAAGTGCGCACGTGCGCTCTCAAGCGTCCTTCTGCATTGAAAAGGCAAAAGCAGAAGCGGACCATTTTCACTGCAGCTCGAAGATCGAAGCTGCGCACACAAGGCGTAGGTGACAGTCGCAGCACCCGGAATGCAGCTGGAAAAAGAGAAGTGTTCGTGTGAGATGCTTGGTCGGTGGGGCGTGCTAAGTACAGTGTCTGAGATTGCACAGTTGTTTCCGGCGTTTGATACTGTGACATCGGCCTTGGTGGCGAACTCGCTATGCATGCTAGTGTACGACGATCACCATGGCGGCATAACCACCGATCCCCAAGAATTTGCCTCAAGTGTCTTTGGTACCTAGGAATGCCAAGTTCGAACAGACCTCGATGCCTCGTACAATTCGTTGGTGTCACGGTATGAACGGTACATAAGAGCTATGCGCAAGGGAACAACTGGTCTGATTCTCAGACTGTTGTTACCTAGGTACACAACTTTTCTTCTGCGTCGCAGCATGCTCGCAGAACAATTGTTTTCTTACAAGTGCCCCGCCAACTTTGTGGCTCAAGATTCTGCTATCAAGCCCAGCTCACTACTGACAGTTAGCTTGCGATCCTAAACCTTGAGCCAGTCCCGCTGCACAGATCATCGGTTGAGCAGCGAAGCTGCAAGGGAGATTGGTAGTGAGGAACATGTCAACATGAGTACCTCATCACCCTATTTATAGGGCTCTGGGCTTCAGGCTTTCACTGCGGCAGGGACAGTACTGCACTAGCGCATGTCTTTGAGGGACATTTAGGTCTTCGGCCCGCGAAAACCGACCGACCTTAGTCCGACTCATCCGCGGTGCTGCTCCTGGGTCGCGGACGACAGCTAGAGGGCTCCCGACGACGACGCGTCACCTTTGGAGGCTGCCGCACTGGTTGCTCCTGGACCCATCGTAGTAGCTGGAGGACCTAACAATACGTGACGACGACACAAAGGTTCCACTTAGGTCTCTGGCCGCGGAGGCCGCCTCCTGCCTTGCGTCTGCCGCATGGCCCGGGCAAATGTCTCAGGACATCGAAGCCCTCGGTTCGTAGCATTGGTGGTGCGTGCCGTTGAGTTCTGGCAGTAGTACCGGGGTTTGCATATCGGCAGCGAGGCTTTCAGGTTTCGTCCAAGGTTTCACGCGCTTTCCTAGGCGACACGACGCGAGGTTTCATTCAAGGTTCTCTCTCAACTTTCCGCGTTTACTGGCCCTTATTGGGCGAGCACGGCGCATTTTGATCACGACAGCTGGAGCGGATCTGAACATAAGGGGAGACCGGGTTGTGCCCTTGTGCAGTCCCGTGACTGCCTGCGGGATTTCACCTCTGATGCCGGCTATCGGTGTCGGCTTCTTTGCTTGTCCTTTTTCGCTGGCTGCGTAGGGTGATGGACCTTGTGATCGTAGTTCCTACATGACGACGATATCTCGTAGTGGCGCTCTGAGCCGTAGTGACAGCTGGGGCCACTCCGGATCGCTCCTGAGGCTCCAAGGCGACGACGACAAACGACCTCCGGAAGCCTTTATTTGCCGTGTATGTTAGACTGGGTTGCGTGTTTAATACAAGAGATAAACAACCGAATCAATCACATCATACGTAAAGGTTCCTGCCTCTTATATATATATATATATAAATAGATAGATATGTATATTTATGTATACATATACGTATACATATATGTATTGGCACTCAAGTATACTGACTGCTAGAGTC